GCGCGTGGGGGGCGCCGAGGATGCAGCCGCGGGCAAGGGGTCGGGTCCAGGGGCGGCCGGCGAGAGAGAATCGGGAGGTGCGGGAGGCAGCAGGGGCCGGGCAGGGCCTTGTTTACCCGCAGCCCGCCCGCGCGGACTCCTCCCTGGCCCTGAAGGCAGTCATTAGCGTCCACGTCCACAGCGGAGAGGGGCAGGGTGGGCGTCTGCACAAGGACAGGCTGCACCCATCTCCTCCCACATTCCAGCGAGAATGGGCCGGGAGGGCAGGTGTGCATGCCCCACTCCTGTAATCCGGCCTCGGGTCTCTGCGGATAGACAGCCACAGTCCAGCCTGAAGCTGAGCGCTCGCAGGGAGGCTGTCGCTGCCGCCTTCTCCCCAACGCTGACTCGTGTGGGAGGATGTCACCTACGCATGGCCTCTTGTCTTTGGGATTGATGATAACATATGTGACTTACATCCTAAGGGCGCTAGCTTGGTTAGACTACAGGAAACTTACTTTTCTTAAAATTTCTGAGTAGAATGCACTGACATGGGGCCACCCCATGTCTCATACTTAAGAAGTATGAGGGGCAGACAAATAGACCTCTCTTTCTCTCTTGTCACAGGAGCCAGGTTATCGCCCTCCCCACCCGCACCCCTCCTGCTTTCCCCCAGTATGAGACCTACTGGGAAATAATCAGCCTCGGAAGCCAGAGATGGACAATGCCAGCCCGGTCGGCCTGTCCTCGCCTCTCCTGTTGTCTCTTCTCTGGCTCCGAGACTGCTCTAAGGTGGTAGGCTGGCTGGGGCTGGCATTATTGATTCTGTTTTCAAGGCTGATTATTGTCCAGGTAGGTCCTATTTTGGGGGAAACACAGTAGTTAAGAAGCCACTGTTAATCCCTTTTTGGATTAGCCTTTCAGCAACTTTACATGGAAAACAAGCTTGAAATGGTTATTTTTTCCTCCTTTTTTATACAAATGTAGCAAACTTTTCAGTAGTCCCTCGCTATTTCACAGTTCATCTTTTGTAGACTATTTCGCAGGTTCTCAAAAAATAATAATCCAAATTATTTATCACAGATTTTTCACTATATCGTGGGATTTTGCAGTACTGTACATATATGTATGTTATTAAAATTATGTAGGTTTATGAGTTTAGAAAATGGTTAAGAACATCAGAAGTGTTTTTAAAGATGTGGGAAAGGTTGGTAAGAGTGTGGGAAAGGTTTATAAAGCCTATATATATATATATATATATATATATATATGCTAATATATATAGCATTGCTACTTTGCTGATTTTCACTTATCACGGGGATGTATGGAATACAACCTCTGTGATAAGTGAGGGTCCACTGTACATCTGTGTCTACAACTTTCTCTTTCATTTACTTTATATCTTTGAAACCTTTCTTTCCCTGTTTTTGAACAGAGCTAAGTTGTTCTTCTCTTTTTCAACTGTATGTTTTCTATTGGAGAGACATAATCTAGTTTCCCATTCTTGATGGGCGTCTGGGTTTCCAACCTTTTCATCACCAGGAACAGTGCCGCCACTGGGCTGGGCGCTGTCTCGCGGTCTAAGCCCCTGCCGGGCAAGCACGAGGACTCGAGTCCAGTTCCTGGCACTCACGCCGCGCCAAAAGCAGGCAATGCAGTGATAAGTTAATTCGCCCCTCAGTCATTTCATGTGGAGAGCTTAATCTGTAGAATAAACTTCTAGGAATAGACTGGGGGAGTGCAAACTTCCAAATGTGATTAGAATTCCCTCCTTCAATTTAAAATACGGCTCCATTTATAAAGAAAATCCTGGGCTCAAGCATCGGGAGCCCCTGGCCTCCGAGAGGAAGCCCGAGTTCTGCCCCACCCGCCCACGGCCCCGCACCGGGTGCCACTTACTGACAGCTCTTGGGTGAGCTGGCGGATCTTCTGCCGCACTTCGCCATAGTCTCCGTACATGCGCCTCCTCACTTTCTCCAGGGTGGCTCTCACCTGCAGCCCACAGAGAGGGTATTATTAGAGATCGCAGTGCTACTACGTTTTCAGGCAAGGTGTCCAAAACTACTGACGAGAGATCAGCCTCACAAAAACAGAAACGTTAAAAATAGCCTCACAAATGAAGGGGGAAGTCACTTTGGACTTCTAGTTAGAAAGCAGTTACCCAGATTATGCTAGTTATAAATAATAATAATTACATGTAGCTTTAAGAGTAAATATTAGTTATCCAAAACCTAAACTCATGAGACAGAGTGGTTCACTGAAATTCACCTGCCGCTCTCCAGCCGCCCTGGCCAAGGTCTACCCCTTTTCCCATCACACATTTTTTCAAGTAGAAAGCTTCCAGTGGTCACACCCTGAACAGGACCAAGACCCCAAGAAGCCAACAGCAACCTTCTGTTTTTCTCTGCGTCTGCTCTGACAGCCAAAACACGGCACACCACCCAGAGAGGAGGGCAGAAAAACGAGAGCCTGGGCTGGTGAGCTGAAAGCCCGCCCTTCAGCGCTCACCGGCGGGGCAGGAGACCCTGACGCTGAGGAGTGAAGAGACCCCTCAGTCCCCTGTTCACACAAACACAGCTTGAGGAACGTGGCTTCGAATTTGCTTTTAACCACAGTAAGAAGCCTTACAAACACACTCTGCTTCTTCCTGTCTTCTGTGCCCTAGCCGGGCAAAGTCCTCAGGAGCTCTCGGACAGGACAGGAAGTCTCAGGACAACTTGCTGCAGGTGCACCCGCACTCCCACCCTGGACAGACTTAGGGCCTCGGCATGGTGAGGAGGCAGGTGCTTAGGGACCCTAGTGGCAGACCTGGTGGCAGAAGTGTGTCTGTGAAGCAGTGTCCTATTTTCAGTTAGCCTGGACACGGTGGAGAAGAGAGGGGGAGGGAAGCGAGGAGCCAGAGCCAGCCTCCCCAGGTGGAACCTGGCAACAGGGCTTTCCTTCTTTCTCTCAACCATAAACACTCCAGGGCGTGAGGCCAGAGCATGGCCTTCATCCTAGGCGCGGGAGCGAGCACCCACTGTGCCCACGCTGGGCCCTGTGCCATGCCTGATGGGCAAGGGTGGCATCTCCTCCAGGGAAGCACTGCAGGACCAGCAGGGCAGGAGATTCCCTCGCGGGGAAGGAGCAGACCAGCCCACAGGCACACTGGCGTGGCCAGACCAGGGATGCGCTAGAAGCCAGCCAGCCACGAAAGGTGGGACCTGGAAATCAGCTTTAGATTGCGGGTGACAGTGGAGGTTAGTAATGTTCTGGGGCAGAGCCGCCCTGCAGCTGCGGCAAGCGTCAGACACAGCTGAGGAGCCGCCCAAACCTGCCGTCTTTGTCTTGGGCAACTTGTGATGGGTGTCTACGTAGAAGGCTGACTTCTAAGGCAATCCCATGCTATCTGGAGCACATAAATTAGCAAGCGCTCAACATTTCCTTGAGAAAAATACAGGAGGCCTAGAATGCCTCAGCTGGGAAGAACAATCAGGAACAGAATATTCTGCGTGGTAATCAGCTCTCTAGAGATACAATAAACAGGGATTCGAGACCGGTAGTTGTCACATTCTGTGTGTGTGTGTGTGTGTGTGTGTGTGTGTGTGTGTTTTGTTCATATTTTATGTTATTTCTTACCTTCACTTTTTAAACTTCCAGCAGATGTTCTTCTAAAACCCACACAACAGCCTAGACAGCATGGCTTTGCACACTATCTGCAAACCCACCAGGGCAAACGTGGCTTCCTCCAGGGCTGGAGGCTTCACCTTAGCACTCACAGCCCACACACGAGAGAACCGAAGCTGACAGCAGGCAGAGCTGCACCGGAAGCAAGTCGGGGTACGCGCGCGCGTGCCTTCGCTGCCCCAGCCCACAGCGCCTGCTCCTCACAACCGCGTGCTAGGCCGCAGGCCAGTGCTGCGGCCCAGCACCCGGCGCAGTGCGTTTCCGCTCTGCTCTGATAACCTGGCATGGACAACAGTAGCATCAGTCAGCCGAGGGCAGTGGGGTGAGCCTGTGGCCCGCGTGCCGCGGCGAGCTCTTATCACTGAAAACTCTAAAAGCCTCGCTATCGCCGAGCTAGGGGGACACTGAGTAGGAGAAAAATGGATATAGGCAGATATGAAAAATTAGAAGAAAATGCCCCAAAATGTTAACAACTGTAGCAGACAAATGGTAAGATGATGATGATGATGATGACGACAACGATTTTGGTACCGGGAATCGAACTCGGGACCTTGTGCTTGCCAGGCAGGTGCTTGTGCCACTGAGTTATAGCCCTAGCCACAAATGGCGATATAAATTATGAGTGTTTTCTTCTTCAGACACTTTCGTATTTTCCAAAACTTGCCCAAAGCGTATGTAACTTAAAAGATAAGAAATACAATATTAAATACAAAGAAACGGCACGACTTGCTTTGGTCGCCCAGACCTGCCTCGGTGACTGCCGGGTATTCCTGCTCTTGGCCTGAGCCAGCCAAGGCCTCCTGTTCTCCTCGCCCGTGATTGGTCGAGGGAGCTAGCACGTGACCAGCTCTGGCCAATAAGACGCAAGGGGTAGTCTATGGGGGAGAGGTCTCCTCATCGAAGGCATTAAGTGACCAGAGGTCTCATCTCTTCCTCCAGACTTATTTTCAGAAGCTAGCCTGAGTTCGAGACTGAAGAAGAAAAAGCCAGTGGAAACGCAGGGAAGCAGAATCAGAGCCTGGATACGCCCTGCCCGGAAGGCCGCCTGCCTCCAGGCGCCGTGCCACAGGAGATAAACTTCCTTTGGAGCTGGCCTCCCTGCAGCCCCGAGCTCCTCAGCATCGCTGCACCCGCGTAATGCGAGCCTCCGCCCAACACACAGAGGCGGGCGCCCCGTGGCCTGGGATCCCGCTTGCAACGCCCCTCCCGCAGAGGTCCAACCTGTGCCTCCCTGCCGACCTGCACCTGCACTTTCAGCAGTCCCCTGCAGGTCCTAGAAACACTTCCACCTAAAAGAACGCTAAGAATTCCTCCAAAGGCCTGCTAGTCCACATCACCCTCCGGCACCACGCGCCGCATGCCGCAAGGGGCGCCTAAGCCAGAGAGGGGCAACTCCACCCGCAAGGGCTCACGTCTTTGATGTAGTTCATCTCTTCTTTCAGCTGACTGGTCGACCAGCCGTACACCACCATTTCCTTCTGCTGGTTCTGATCGGATCTTCGAACCACGCCATAAACCACGCCCTGAGGAAGTTTCCTGGTTGAGTCTCCATTGCTTAGTTCCGGAGGCTACAAGGGTAGGAACAGAGATAAAGCACAGTGAATCGTAGGCCTAGAGGAAACAGCTTGATGATGGCCCATGGGGTGGGGACCTATGCAGTAGGGCCCCTCCGGGTGCCTGGTTGCAGAGGCAGCAGGTGGACACCCAGCCTGGTCTCTGTGGCCAAGTGGTGCCCAGCATGGACCAGGCCTGCCTTTACCCTGGCGAGGGAGCCCTCGTGTCCACTTCTGCCGTGGCCCTGTCCACCAGCCTGGTGATGCAGCCGCACAGCCCTTCCCTTCTGCAGGGGGCAATCTGTCCTAACTCCCACTAAGGCGCCAGAAGGACTTGCTTAGGACAGGCCGGCTTGAAACCTCACACCCTGGGTAATGCTGTTTTTCCCCTTAGACCGGTTGGCCTGATGGCTCCCACCTTATTACTAAGTATGCAGCCTGATGTGTGGGCGGTTGAGATTGTGGTCACCTGGCAGCCACCCCGTCCCCTGGGCACAGGACTGACCCAGCAGCATTCTGAGAAAAAGAGGTGAGGTCAGTACACAGCTTGTTGTGACTATTCATGAAATATTTCTGAAAAGCCAGACGGACACAGTCTGACTTGAGCCCCAAGGAATCTTCCTGTTCCTGCAGGCTGAGCTTTAATTACTTCAATTAAAGATTGCTGGCTGTTGAAATGCAAATCCCCTTAAGGATCACAAGCTGAGGAGTGTACTCTTGTCTGCCACCAAGCTTGGGAAGCAGGAAGGGAGACTTGCAGGCTGGCTGAGCCCGCAGGGCTGGGGTGCTCCTCCGCACGTTTAGTGCTCACGGCCACTCTCCGTCAGTGAGTTTCTTCTGTATTTCCTAGCTGCGGAAACTGAAGTTCAGGGACAAAAAAGAACTTGCTAAGGGAGGGGGGGAAAAGAAAACAAATGAGAAAAGAAGGATAAAATGGAAACAAAGCTTTGTAACTAGGAAGAGGAGTTGAAGGGAGGGGAGGGGAACAGGAACAAAAGTGAAACCAAGACACAGCCTATGCAGGGATAAACTCCCCGAGATGACTGTGATTGGTATGTGTATCTATAATGCACCGATAAACTTAATAATAAAACAGGGACTTGCCAAGGATCTCACGTGTCAAGGCCAGCCAGCCCTGTGTGATTCTAGGGCCGCATGCTCAGACCGCAGGGTATTCCAGGTACAGGACAAGGAGGACAGAACAGAGGTCTCCGTGACATGGAGGGGACAGAGACAACCAAGGAGCTGGGCCCCCAGCAGGGCTTCCCAGAGGCGCCGGCTCCTCTAACCTCCCTGGGGCCACCCTGACCTCGGGGAGCCCCCGTCACAGATGCCTGAGCCCTGGGGCGCTCCTCCCCTCCTGAGCACTGGGATGACAAGTGTGCGCCTCCATGCCCAGCACTAAACTTTTTCTTAAAAGTCTAAAATAAGACACATGACAAATTATTGTCAGTGACCTCTGAGCAGGCTGTGGGGTGGCACCAGGCTGCTGGGGCTGGAATGACTTTTTGGTGTTTGCTTATGTACTTCTGCATTATGTGTTTGATTTTTTTTTTTTTAACAATTAGAGATTTTTATCAGGAAGCAAACACCTCCCTCAAGTCCATCCTGTGCACCTGTGTGGGGGAGGTGAGCCTGGAGGGTCTGCCCCCCCATGCACACGTGCGCATTGAACCAACCCACTGGCACCTTTGAAAGGGCTTCTAAGTTTAGAGGCCTGGCAGGCCCAGGCCCAGTGGGCAATCACAGTTCTGGTGGTCACCATGGGCGGCAGCCAAAGAAAAGCTCCGTGAAACCCCACACAGTGGAAAACAAAGCTCTGACTTGCACAAGGACTCCACCCAGTTCCTGCAAAGCAAAGCCTGGGTGGGCAGAGCGCTGTCGAGGGGGCCGGTGCCAAGGGGAGTGGGCAGGGAGGCACCGCTGAGGGCACAGAGTGAACGCCACATTCCCATGTTTGTCTTAAGAATGCACATGTTTGAGTCAGACGTGGTTGCACACTTGGGAGGCTGAGGCATGAGGGTCCCAAGTTCAAGGCCAGCTTGCCTGATCTTGTCTCAAAACAATGACAAGGAATATGTGTTTGTGTAAAACTTCTAGAAAGATGCACTGCAGACCTTAGGATCACTTCCTCAGTAAGCGGGCTGTTCTTGCCTTTTCTAAGTGCCTGTGCACTCTCTCACGGGGGTGGGAGCCCACAAAAAGCCAAACAGTACTGTGGAACCAATCATTTTTATTTTAATTCTTTAAAAAAAGAACTGTAAAGGTTGTTGAATTGTCAAGATCTAAACCACAGACTCTGGAGCTGCTGGCCACGGTGGAGTAAGGGAAGGGAAGCAGAGCTACATATGAAGACACGAGGAGAAAGATTTGTTGCCTGGAATTTCAGCGAGCCGTCTCGGCCTGACCCCACCCTCGCCCTGCTGTGTGCATACACTGGCAGGACGGCACCCTTGAGCTTCCTCTGTCTTTCCAAATCTAAGCTCATTCCTTATGTCCACTGCCTCCACACTAGCTGAGAATCAGGACAGAAAGCCCGTCCCAGAGTCCAGAGGCATGGACACAGGAGCCTGGTCCCTGCTACCAGGGCCATCGCCAGCTCCCCGCCAATGCCAGCTCCAGGAAGCCGAGGTCTTGTTTGTCTCCTTTCCCCCGACAACCTTCAGCACCCAGCAGAGACAGACATGCAATGACTTTCTAAATGAACATTTGCTGAGTGATCGGGGACTATGAAGCTAGAGGCGGTCTGGGGGCCACCCAGAGCCCGCCACATCGTCCAGCCCAGGGGCACCTTTCTTCCTTCCTCTCAGATGGACGAATGGAGTGCTGCTGTCCATCCCAGTGGCAGAGAAGTGCCAAAGAGCAGAGACGATTATTTTTACAAAATGTCAGCATACTTGCGAATCAAAGTTGGAGAATATAGGGAAAATCACAAGAGCTGACATGTCCAGCAACACTTATGGCTCAAGTTTTCTCCTCTGTTTTCCTTTAAAATGTCTCTCTGTAAGAAAAATACTAATTTTTAGGCACAATGAAAGTATCATAACACTATTAAGAAAGTATCTTCGAGAGTAACATTGCAAAATATTTGGGGCCTACTTGTTTACTCAAGGGGTGACCTGGCCGGGTGGGGCAGAGACTCCTCATACTTTGGCCTTCCTTTTGTACACATTTGAATGCTCCATACTTAAAGGGTTTTAATTCCCCTTACAGTGCTACTTGATATGTTAAAAGTCTGAATTTGAAAATATACACGAGACCTAGGACATGCCTTCTTTCTGGGTATTAACACCATTGAGCAAATCTCCTTGAAAACAAAAGCCCCAGTAAATGTGAGGATGAAAAAACAATTATTAGTGAAGAAGGAAAAGGGAACAACCAAGCGACAGGCCTCTTCCCCTGCCCTGAAGTGACAGGCAACGGGATGAAGAACTCATGTGACAAACACACACATGAGGATTCTCACCACGAGGGTGTTTCCTGTGAGCACGCACAGCTTGCGGCCCGCCTCTGTGCTCAGCCATGCTGTTGCCCTAGAGACACAGTGAGCAGCAAGCCCCTTAGAGACCTGGAAAGGTGGGGCTGGCCAGGTAGCTCAGCCGACTAAGGCACCTGCTTAGGCAGACGCAGGGACCAGGGTTCGATACCGGGCAGGCCATGCCGGCGTGCCTGTGATCCCAGCACTTGGGAGGCTGAAAACAGGAAGGATCACTACGAGTCCCATCTGTGTAGTGAGACCCTGTACTAAAATACATAGCAAGCAAGCTGGAAAGGAGGAGCAACCTTAGAAAAGCACCCCCTCAGTCCCTGATGTCAAGGGCTCACCGACCCCTTGGATTCCAGCTCCTGAATTAGAATATGAGTTCTTGCACTACCAAGCCAAAGGCATACCTGCCCCCCGCACCGCCAGGCCCCAATACTGGGCACAGAGAGACGCACACTCACAGGTCAACTGTGTGGGGCTGGGGCTGTGCTGACATTGCTGGAGTATCTGCCCGTCTTGAGCACAGGGACCGAGCTGTGCAAAGGAAGAGAATCCAGGCGCCGAGGCTCGGAGTAAGCAACGAGAAACACAGCTTCACCAACTTAAACTGGTGGCAGCAGAGGCCAGGACGGGCAGTGGGCCACACATCCAGCCTGCCAGTGCGACTTGGGGGGGTCACGACAGGAAGGAACTAAAGCAGGACATCAGGGCGTGACAGCCTGGCTGGGGAGTGGGCTGGCCTGCTCATTACAAAAGCCCAGAGCACAGTCACTGAATAGTTCCCAAAGCCCTGCACGTGTGCTTCTCAGGAGAACTCCAGCAGGATGGGGCAGCCTGAGGAGTGGGCGGTGCGGAAAGGACAGCTGCCACTGAGCTCTCAGCCACTGAGTCCTTATGCACCGTGGCCCACCCTCACACTTTAGGGTACGCTGGGAGTCCCCCACTTTTACCTGGCCCCAACTGGCTCTGCAGAGTTCTTTGTTGTCCTACCTTTAAAAAGGTAAAACCTTCCTACTGTTTGCACTTGTCTTGACCAATTTTTTGCTCAGAACAGAAAGAACCTAGAACCTGGAGCCTTGAACATAGAACCTGGAACCTGGAACCTGGAACATAGAACCTGGAACCTGGAACCTGGAAGGGAACTGTAGCAACAAACCTGGTAACAAAATGACCTGCTGAAATTGAGGCCAAGTCACCTCCTCCACATCTTGCTTTGGCCTTTGTCCCTCTGGCCAAAGGGCAGCTGCTGCCCTGTCACTGCCAAGAGCCCAGCCCAGGCATCCAGCGCTCCTGCCAGCACGCACAGGAATGCACGCCAGCCTGCCTGGCCTGTGGGCCCATCTGCATGAGTTCCTTATCCACTCATTACTCATGCATTACATAGTTTTGCCTCTCTATGACAACAATGAACGCTAAGAGCAGAATCTGAGGGCCTTTCCACACCCCGGAAGAGAAGCAGGGAAGGCAGAGCCAGCCCTGTATTCTCAGAAATGGAAACCTTTAGTTTATCAAAACATTTGTTATTTTGACA